CGAAGGCGGTGAACAAGGAGCCGCTTATGCCTCGGCTCTTCTCCCTAGCGTTGGCTCCGGCGCTCCGATCCTTACACGAGGAGCTGCAACCCGGCGAGGAAGTCTTTGCGTCCTTGGACGATACCTACATTTTGCAGCCTCGCCTGACCGTGCCACATATCTTTGTCGCCGCCGCGAGCACCACCTTTTCTCTCATGCGCGACTGCAATTGAACACTGCCAAAACAGCCTTTGGGAACGCTGCTGGCATTGCTCCCGCTGGCTTGGCACAGCACGACTGCGAGGGACATGGGTGGGTCGGAGACCCTGCGCTCGATCCATCTGAGCGTGGCCTCGTCGTGCTGGGTGCCTTGCTTGACCAACTCCCGGCGTTAGAGGATGCCCAGGTCGCATGGCTGTTGTTGTCCTTTTGTGCTGCGCCGCGAGCCCAATACGCTTTGCGCACTGTGCCGCCCCCTCTTATTGAGGAGTTTGCAGCTGATCACGACCGTGCCATGCTGTCGTGTCTGGCAGCCTCGCTGTCGCCGGGGGCCAATTGTGACAGCTTGCGATGCGGCACGGTGGCTTGGGCCTCCGCGCTGCCGTCCGGCACGCGTCGGCCGCAGATTGGGCTTCTTGGGCCGACTGCCTCCAACTCTTCACGCCGTGAGCCTGCCTTCGCTGAGCACCTGATTGCATCCCTCGCGGGCCGGGACTCGCTGCCACTTGCGTTGGACTCACTTCGCCTGGCCGGCCATTCCCTGTCCGCTGCGGGTTTTGATTTGCCCGCGTGGCGAGACCTCTCGCATATGCCTTCCCCCCCACAGCAGGACGATGACCCAGGCATCATCGACGTCACTCGTGGATGGCAGCGATGCGTCCCGTGCCCTTGACGACTTTGGTGATCGGGGGCTCCGACGCGAGCTAGACCCAGCTTCGGCAGCCATGCTCGACTCTCAAAGTGGCCCGTATGCAGCACGTGTTCGCGCAGCTCGGCCCACCTCACCCGAGCTCGCCTGCCGTCGCCCCTCTTCCGCGCGCTGCTTCTCCGACGGCTGCGTATGCCGCTGCCCCTTGCGCCTGCGCTTGGACGCCCTTGGTGACCACGTGGCAGCACGCCCACGCTCTGGGGTGCTGCGTTCTCGTGGCGGGCCTCTTGAAAGGGCAGCAGCCCGCGTCTGCCGCGAAGCTGGAGCCACAGTCCAGCAGCACATCCTGCTTCGACTTGGATGTTGAGCCGGGGCGGCTAGACGAGCGCCGGATTGAGGTCATCGCCAATGGCCTTCCTCTTTGGAATGGAGCACAGGTTGCCGCTGACCGCTCACGTCTCCTGGTGTTCCGCGCCGCATCCGAGGCCGCGCTGCTGGAGCACCCTCCAGGTTGCCCGTCGTGCCAAGGAGCGGGCGTACCCGGAGCGCGCTGCCTCCCGGCGATTCCATCTCACAGTCCTTGGCATCGAAGTCGGTGGCCGGTGGAGCTCCGAAGCATCCACCTTCGTACGCTGCCGCGCTCGCGCTGCGCCAGCCTCTTCTCTTGCAGCCTGCGCCTCCGCCCTCGCACTTCGCTGGTCGGCCGTGTTGTCCATCGCAGCCGCCCGTGCCTTTGCTGCAGCCTGCTCGGCCTCTCTCTGGCCGGCGCGGGCAATGTTGATGGGAACTTGCCTCTCATGAGCGACCTGCTTGCGGACTCGTCTGAAGTCCCTCCTCTCGCCAGCCGCATGCCCTAATGGGCCCTGCCCTGCCGGTGGACTTGTGGATTTCGAGCACCTCCGTGCCGCTCACATTCTCCGTGAGCTTCCTGCACTGGGACCGCGCTGAACTGTTGGCAAAAAGGTCCGTTGGGAGAAAAAAACGCTCCATGCCAGAGCTTGATTTGCAGCAGGTGTGAGGATGCTCCACGCGAAAGCGCAATTTCGAGGCAAAATGCGAAGACACATAAAAAAGAAGAGAAATGCCAACAGCCACGAATCGAAACGAAGGCCTGCAACATCATGTCTCTGTGCACGGCACCCCAACGTCAGACAGAACGCATGGGAAGGCGGCGGCTGGCGGGGATTGCCTGCCAACGCGCGTCGGCAAGGAGTTAGGTGTGGGCCTGCCAGCGCTGCACTCACCTTCCGACCCAAGCTGCCCTTGCCGCAGCCCGGAAAGAGGTAGGCACTTCTGCTGCACGCGCGCGGGCCAGCAAACGGATGAATGTGGCTGCTTCGGGGGCACGCCTGCCGCCTACGTCGGTCCCGAACACAACCATGCGGCAGCGGTGTGCCCGCCCAAGCTCGGAGTAAGTCTGGCGTCGTTTGCGGCGGGTTGCTGCACCGCTTTCAACAAACATGCGAGTGCGCTCCATGCAACAACTTGATTTTGAGCCAAAAGAAAATTAATGACAATAAAAATCCAAATCGCAATGACGCTCCACGCGAGAGCTCCGCGTTCAACACAAATGTGAAGGTTTTCCCCGTCTCAAGAGCTTGATCTTGAGAACAGTGTGAATATAGGAATTATATAAGGATTATTTTGTGGGCGGATATGTCAATTATATAGGGATTTTTTATGATTTTTTTGGGGTGTATACATGGTTATCGTATAGGGAGCATCGTAAGGATCCACTCACCCCCGTCTCCCTTGAGCACCAGTAAAGGAATGGCGGGGTTCAGGGCTTAGGGTTTGGGGATGCCGGGAGTGAGGGGTTGTCTCGTGTAGGGGGTTTAGGGTTTAGGGTTCAGTATGTGGGGTTTGGGGTTTAGGGTTTGAGGTTTACGGTTTCGGGCCTAGGATTTAAAGCTCATGGTTTTGGGGTCTACCGTAAATATCAAGTAAGGCACCTTGGGGGGTGGACATATGGTGGATGCTAAAATTCTGCATGGCGCCCTATGGTACTACAGTAATAATACTACAGGCATTCAGGGTTTTTAGCATCAAGCCGTAGGGGCCCCTTTTGTAGTTTAGTATACTCCCCAAAAAGGAACCCATGTCCATGAATTAGCCAGGGAGGTGGTGACTGGTATACAAGGCCACCGAACTCACACACGTGAATTGTTTAGTGGACCGTTTGTATTTATTGAAAGCATGGCCGATTGTGACCGGTGTTCGCTTGACAGTTCATAGCAGCTGCCTCCTTCTCAATGGAAGTTGAGGGCTGCGAATTTCTGCTTTGGTGCCTGACACCTGGCACTTGTTCATGCCCATGTGTCACTGTACACGAGGCCCTCTCACTCACTCGCTTGTGTTTGCAAAGTTTTTTGGGGGCGAGTTCATGATCAGTTACTCGTAGACCATGGTCTACATGAAAAACCTGGCTTCTGTTCTTTGGGGACTTGGCAATCCCTCTCCGGAAATTCCTGCACATGCAGGTGCGCGGTGGGCCTAGAGGTTCTTTTCGTCAATGCGATGAAATTGCTGTGTATGGCTTGTCATGCTACCACCCCATGCTCACCGTGAGTCGTGAGTAGACCTACATACGAGAGGTCAAGTACACTGTTTCCATTGGACCTATGACCAACAAACTTCAAGATTTCCGGTTTCCCAGCCATAGCCTAAATTCTTTAATTAAAGCGGAGTTATATTGGTGGTTACATGGGGGCATAATGCCTCACAAAAAAAAAGTTTCGAGGCAACATGTGAAAAAGTTCCGCAAGAGAGAGTCGAACCCTGAAACGACCATGGGTCATGGTCAGAAGACTGAAGCATGCAACATGACATATCAGCATGACAAAGCATACTACACACACATGCCAAGTAAAAGGGCAACACGATTGATGCAAATGGAGTCAACCAGTATGTGCATCTACATCATGCCGATGCTCTCCGGAAATGCTCATATTTCGCATGCCTCAGCGGCTTGTCAAATGTGTGCAAACATACGGGATGTTGCGGGCAATGCCACGAGCAATGTTAACGTACGTGTTTGTGTCAAACAATTGTTGCATTGATAGCGGGCATGTGCCACCGCTTTGCTGCAACCAACGTTGAGTTGTGTGCCATACAACCAGGCGTGTTCAAGTGAGTCGTTGCCACTGGCACAAGGACGGCACGGCGGCAGGGAACTTGCATTGCGGTGACAGGCAGAACGTCCGTCCGAGAAAGGATGATGCCCACAATGTGCAACCGTCCTTGCAGTTTGCCTTGAAACCCAGCGGGTTGGGGTGAAGGGTGGAGGCGTGTTTTTTATTTTGCTTTTGGTAGCAGGGCAATTTTTTTTTTGCTGTTTTGGCGCGGGCGTGGCCTGGGTGCCTAAAAAACGAAATTGACACCACCGCCCAAACAGCAAAAAAACACCGACCGTGGCCCCGCCCAAACAGCAAAAAAACACACTCCCCGGCCAAACCGCAAACAAAAAACACCCGAACGGCCCAAACCACAAAACACTAGAACAATAAGACTCCTACCCCTCATCTTTGCACATGGGCTCACACATTAGGCGGTTTTACATTGCGCTGCCGAAGGTCATGCAGAAACGCGGCATCGTTCCATGTTTTTCCCTAGCTTGCAATTATACATCTTTTTTTTGATTTGGTTGCCAAGCATCATACTATGTGCATGGCATTGGCAACTTCACAGCCCTTTGTCCATAGAATGTTTGCGGCAGCATGCGGCACATGAATTTGTGGCATGGAGCAGGTCGGCGTGTAAGCATGCGAGCCAACGTGATTGGTGTGCATTTGTTTCCATGGCCGGCATCAAGTGCAGCGTGATTCCGCAATATCTCGCAGGTGATTCTGCAGGCCGCGCACGGAAGAAGGCTTGGGGTATACACAGACATGCCATGGTCACTTTGTGCAGCGCTTTTGCCGTTGGAGTGCTTTACTTGCACAGAGGCGCGCGTGTTTTTTGCTCTGTGCCGCGCATGCCTTTAGCAACAATGCAATTGGAAATGTGATGGTCGTTAGCTCTCAAAGCAGTAACCAAGCAGATCATATTTGCAGGGCATGATGTAACAATTTTTTTGACATTTTTTTTGGAAGAGCTGTGAAAAATGAGTAACGCCACGTGAAATGGCTTAGATGCCCGCACACTATGCAGAGCCATGTGGCTCTCCGTCGCTGGAACACTTCTAGTGGGTTCTTGGCTGCATTCAAGACATGTTTCAGTATTCTTTGCGGCAAACCAAAGCCACTGCAATGCAGCGTCATGGAACCCAGGATTGCTGTTGCAACTGACGGATCTGGGGCCAGAAATTGGTGTCGTCAATGCATGCATTTTTGTGCCTCAGGCTTGCATTTCGAAGCGAGGGCACGGAAAACAAATTTGCACGTATTTTCCCGTTGCGAAAAGGTGACATTGTTCTGCCGCTGCATCGGGAAATTTGCCGTGGTTGGACGTGGGCATGATTTTAATTTCGTACCATTGTCGCTACACAAGTTGGGACCACCGTCTTCCGCAAACCTGAGTGCCTGGATTGCAGACCTGAAGGGTCCACAGTGGATTTGTTCAGCATGCGGGAATCATGCGTGCATGGGCATTTGTGTTTGTCCATGTTGGTCATTGTGCTTGGAAGGAACGGCAACCCTGTTTACGTTGAGTTCGCTGATATTGCTTGGGACCATCCAGACGCTTGTCTGCAGCACTAGGGAATCGGTAGCACAATCAAAATGCGCATGTCTTAGCATGGTGTTCCACATGCAGGTTCCTTGTGGTTGTGGTTCGATTGTTGCCCGAGCTTTGGCCACTCCGTGATGCTCAAGAGGTTGCACGCCTTTTGCACAGCTTGTTCTTACATGTTCTTCGCAGGCTTGGCTTGCATTGGAAAGGCTTGGGCTTCAATCATAGAGTTGGTCCCAACGTTCCTGGAAATAAACATCACGGAGGGCGAGCTCATCAGTTCCCGTGCTCGCCTTTTTTTGTGCATGCTGAAAGCCTTTCATGTCCCAGCTTGTTCGGTCGGTTTTGCCATTTATCATTTTCAGTACTTGCAAGGCCAGAACCGTTTCAACATCGAGTTGCCGTCTTGGAGCTGGTTCGACGTGTGTGGAGGCTCTTGGAAAATGAAACTAGTTGCTCGGTGGACGGAGTTGTGCAACGTGCTAAGGAATGGAGAGGGTGCACGTGCACGAATATGGCAACATCATCGAACTGCCTGCTTCCATCTTAGGCTTCCTTGGACTTCGGCTCGCCGGACTTGTTTGCTGTTGGTCGACTACTTGCCATTTTGTATTTCGACGTATCTCCGCAGTTGCAGGCCGCTGCCTAAGTTGGCAACACTCGCAGTGTTCGTTTTGAAGTTGCCGTTTGGCTTGAGGTGACAGATGTCAGCCCTGGGGAGGAGGTAGAAGTTCAGTGAGAACCCTATCCTTGGATGTCATTATTGGCTGTGCCAATCTATTGTGCTGCAAGTGGCGCCAAGGGTTGACAGCGACTTGATCGGCTGTGGGGCACCACGCTCATTATTCCCGCTACCGTTCAAAGGGGCATGGGTACCAGCTGTTGTCCAATCTTTGCAGCCTTCCAGCTTGTTGTCGCTGAGCTGCACTTATGCAGTTGACACACGGCCACGTCAACCCATGGTCAGCACGAACGAGCCTGTTGACTCCCCTTGCAGCAATTTTTCATGGATGCAATGAGAAGGTCAGAGTTCCGCTATGTCGTGAGGGTGTTGCCTTCTGAGTGCCAGGCTTGCGGTGCAGGATGGATGCAGGACTTTCTCCCGTTGTAAAACATGGTCATATCATATCCCTCCAATGTTGTTACGGCTTCTCGAGGAGCTCCCTCCTTGCAGCCCGGAGCTGTATCCAAATTGCTCCTGTGCTGTACTTCCAACAAGCCTGCGCAGAGCAAAGCAACAGCTGGTGGTGCTTGGTGCTGATGAGGACCACGCATGGGACTCGCAAGCTACGTGAGGGACGTAGAGGTTGCTGTATTGTAGGCATCGGGTTCAGATTGAATATGATTAGATAGGGTTAACGGCGCTTGAAGATTTTTTTGGCGAGCTCAAGCCAGGCACTGCTGGCTCCAGCGCCAGTTTGTCTGATATTAGCAAAAGGGTTAATTTCCTTGGAGCATCGGGCGCATGAGCTATTTCATATGTTTCTGACAAGTGGGACAGAATTTTCAACTTGAGCATGTGATTTTGCAACTTACATGTCTAGAACAAGTAAGTTTTTTTACTTCTTGCATACTCGAACAGACCCCCGTTACTTCACGTGAAGTTTGGATGCGAATCTTTTGCCCACGATGCAAATTTCCTGGTGAACATTATAGAGAGCATCCTCGATTTTGCGAGACTCCGGCCTGTAGACATGGAAGCAAATTAAGCCCCTTCCGCGGGAAAAAGGGTGAACCTGGGAAGGTCTGAGAAACTGAATTTCGCATCTAGGTTTTAGGGGAGTGCGGTCCTTTTTCGCCTGGTGTGGTAGGGAGTACTTTGAGAGATGTTTGGAAAGGGATGTGCGGCTTCTGAGGGTGACGGGATTAAGAGCTTGGCGAATTCTAGGACAGCCATGGATGGTCAGACAGGCCCATTGGATGGGAAAGGGGCTCGAGGCTCGAGGTCATACGCTCCCTGGTGTAAAGACGGTGAGAACATCCGTATCGCATGAGGCACGCGGAGAGGTTGACTACAAAGCGCTGCCAGTTTTGGGAGGAGAGCAGAGCGACAACCGCAACCGGACAAACGGTTAGGGAGAAGCGCGACAAGGAGCAGATAGTAGCATGACAAGGGAATGGAGTCGTTGCCATGTGTGGCACGAAGTGATGAAAACAGAGCACAACGCCAGGAAGAAGACAGTGGAGTTGAAGTCTGCCCACAGCGCAGCTAGGGCGGGGGCTGTGAAGGCGGCTGGCCCCCTCATATGTGCCGCCGATGAGGGAGCAGGTGGCATACTGAACACTTAACATGGTCAACAGAACACAGGGGACGAGCCAGTGGCCCGATGACCAGGAACAGGAATCCTTGGCAAGGCGCCTCCAATGCATCGACGCTATTCCGGGAGAAGGGGATGCAAGCGCATACGTGCAACAGTTTCTGGAAAAACTCCGGTCCACTGAGGGGCGGATGGACCGCGGAGTGAGCCGAAGGGCAGGGAAGTGAACATATGATTGCTTGAGTCCTACTCAACATGGGCATTTCGAAGCTAGGGAACCCAGCATGCCGAGGATTAATTCAGCAAGCGACTCAGGAAACTGAGCAATAGCATGCGATGCTCTTGGTGGGAATCCAGACAGACAACTGTCGATTGCATCGCAATTAATTAAGGCAGTAGAGAAACAGACGTCCTCGAACTCGAGGAGTCCAACTCAGGTATCCAATTCAGAAGGAATGCAAAACCGCTGACTGCATCAAATTGAGGAAGCCTATGGGAATACCCTCGCGACTCGGGGTTCAGCCAAAGGTAGACGTAGACCAGCTCGAAAGAGAGAGCGAAGTAATTAGGGAGCAGTGCAAGGTAGACCTTGGTAATTCAGAGAGGGCATGCAAATAGTGTGCATCCAGTGTCCAAAGGATTCCAAAGAAAAGGATGTCCTCCAAGCAGATGGTCTCTGACGCCTGCCACCTTTTGAGGACCATCCACGGAGATTTTTGCTCTTGAGCCCCGTATGCTTTGAGACGTGGTGGCCATGAATCGTGGGCTCGATCAAACTAACCGGGAGGATTCGTAATGTAATAGTTCAGGCCAACTCTTCTCCGGCAAGGGAGGCTATTTCTTCCGTGCTTTCAGGAACGCGAAAGTACTGGAAGGCACTGCTGTGATAGATGAAGGGGGATAGTACAGGTCCCACCATCCATTCGCATTGTACGGTGGCAATGCCTCGAGGGGGTTTTGGCTTTCCCTATACTATAGCCCTCAAAGAAAGAAATGAGGCGAGAGAGAGAGAGAGCCTGACAAATCCAGGACACTTGCGGACTAGGGGCCTGGCCCAGCGTGTTCGCGAGAGCGCACAGAGCCCGAAGAAGAAGAAGAAGAAGAAGGAGAGCACGTCAAACCCTCTCGTCACTGCGCCCTTCCTCATGGATTAAATCAGCATTGGGCACCGATATGAGGAGAATTTCAGCATGGGAGTACCGCTGAATGGGGAGCCTGCTGACCAGGACCCTGGGGGCTGACGTGCAGGCTTGCCAAGAGCTGATTTTGGAAGGGTGAGCCAGGGCGGCACAAAGAGCGGCTCCGTCCTTGTGGCAGCTCTTGGCCAACAGTGACGGAGCACAACACGAGGATCAACTTTGCCACCAAGGGGCTTTGCAAGTTTACTGGCCTTCGCTGTTCATGTGAACCTCTTTGCGGTGCCGTTTTCTCATCGCATCCCCATGGTCCGCGGTCAACCTTTTTGTCATGGTGCTTTCTCACCGCGGATGAAACTCCGACCCTTAAGCCCCAAACTCAGAACCAGGAAGCCCTTGGCGAATCCTGAGCCGCTCACCACAAAGCACCCCGAACCCTAAAATCCTGCACGCTGACGTTGTCCTTCTTAGAACTAAAAACGAATCGCGAACTTCACAATCCTGGCCCTTAATTCCTAGGGCTTGAACCTTAAACCCGTTAAACCTCAAAAGCCGTAACCTCATGCCCTTGACCCCGGAATCCTAAAATCTCAACCCAAACCCCCACCTTGACGATGTTGTACTCTAACATGGACACCGCTAGTCCTTGGGCGCTGTTGTTTATCAACTGAGCCACAGGGCTGGTCTGGGACGGGGCGTTGCCGTGCCGTGCTGTGCGATGTGTTGTTGAAGCCAGATTTGGTGAACTGGCACGGACATGACTGTAAGCGCACGCCGGCAGGGGTCGGCCGGCTGGGCAGACTCGGGCCCATGAAGATTTGAGATGGAATCCCACAACATCGTAGTAACAATTGCTTTACGGGACAAGCAAGCAGAAACCGTAAAAAGCTGGTCAAGCTTTTGCAGGACTTGCTGGACATCTCCGAGATGCGCCCTTTGCGCGCTGCTCTCGTTTTTGCGCGCGAGCGCTTCGCAAACCTGGAAGGCTGCAATTTAAAGTAAACAGACTGTGGTGAATGGATTGGCTGTAGGCAGCTTTTGGGGTGTGGGTTCTGGGTTTATGATTTGGATTGATTGGAGCCCTCACGGTTCCGCATGGGCGCCTCTTTTTGCATGTGCTTCCGATTGTTGTCGAGGCTTTTCCTTCCATTATGGCCAATTCTGGCGGTACAGGAACATAAGGACGACTCAGATGTGGCGAAGGCCCAGTGGTTCGCCCCACGCAGGTGGATAAACTCTCGCGTGTTGCATAGCTTTTGCTGGTAACATCTCGCTCTTTGTTGCAGGTATACATCCAAGGAGCTGCGCGCTCATGGGCCGCTGCGCTGCATGTCAGGCAAGCAGGGCCACTCTACGATGCCCTTCCTTCGAGACCTGCTGCGTCAGGGCTATATTGCCGCAACGATGGCAAGAAACATCTTCAGTGCTCGCGTGCAGCAGCCGCTGCAAACCTCCAATCCTGGGCCGGACAATTCCCTCAGTTGGCATTGGCGGACCACCTCTCAGCTTCACATGCTTCACATGGTCCATCGTCGGGTCAGCGAAAACGGACATGTTGGCGGTGGGGTCTTGCTGAGGTGCAATGGAACCTCCACATGCCTGCATTTGTCATCTTTCTGTGGCTCGCTTGCGTACTGGTCGGGAACTTACTAGGGTTTAGCGGTTTAGCGTTGCAAAAGCGTTGCAATGCGCGCTGGAGCCTTTGTATATGTTTGTATCTGTCGCGTGGCGGAGCTGTCAAGGCGACCCTGGTTTGCCGCGGCTTCACTTTGCTGGCGCTGTACTTTCCCGCTGGGTATGTGGCCTATGCTTTGATTCGGCATGTGGACACGCCACTTTTGGCGCCTTCAGCATGTCTATGCATGGTCATGTGCCCTCCACTGCACTTGAGGGCAAATTGTTGCTGAGGGAAGGTTGCATGCAAGCAGATATTCGTAGGCAGTCAAGTCTAGTGTGCTGGACAGACGATGAGGTTCAGTGCCATGCCTTTTCTGTATTTCGACTGCCTATGTGAAGCGCTGCCAGATTTGTGGGGTGTCCTGGTGCTGGATTATGTGCACGGAGCGGTAGACAGGAATTTGTCGTGGAAATCAAAGATTCCAGCATATTGTAGCATCGATCGGAAGCCATAATACGCAATGGGCATTGCAATCGATGCCAACAGGGCAGGATTGCAAAGACTCAGAGACTCAGGACAAGGGGAGCACCTACATCCTTGGCTGCAGATTGCACTGGCGTATGAAGCCCGAAGCTGCGCGTGCTCGTGGATTGAAGCAAACAGTTGCAAGAGCGTTCCTGTTGTGCCTGCAGCACCTGGCTGCACCGAAGCGGAAAAGTCAAATCTACGAGGTGAAGCTGTGCAGAGGGCTGATGGGGCTTGCCTGCCTGGTAAGGTTCTGGCTCTGGCTGGTGTGGAGTACCTATGTCGTGATCTACTCGCGGCAGAACGCGCAAAAGAACCAGAAACAGCAACGCACGTCGAGTTCCCACAGCAGCGAGGCGCGGCAGTTGTGCGCGGCTGTGTGAGCGCTGTGGTTCTGTTCGCTCGTGACACATCTGCCAGGCCGTGGGAGATGGCCAACCGACTTGCCGCATTTGCTTTGGCGGGACCGAGAGCGGCCGCAGCTGGACTTTGCTTCAAATGTTTGTCATAATTTCATAACATCATAGGCTGTAGCCTCAACATTCATTTCAGGGCGTCGCTGTTTGCATGTGGGGCGAAGTTTGACTGGAGTGTTTTATGCGGTCTGCTGACCTTGCCTGCTGCAGCTGCGTGATTTTCCAACATGCAGTCTTTGGATTTGCAAACTGAAACGAGGGCTCATTTCGCCGTGCCTGTGTGCCTTGCTTGCAGTGGCGTGCACCTCTTTCTATCATCGCGTTTGGTGCTCAATGCTTGAGTTTGCATTTGTTCTTTTGTCTCATGACTGGCTTGCAAGGTTCAGGCAGTATGCGCTTTGTCCATCTGGACTGCTTGAACATGTGGCGGTCTTCAAGCGTCAATCCCCAGTCTGCGCGGCACTGCTGCAGCCTAGACATATGCACACGTCTGGCAGGGTCTTCAGGAAAGATATGGCTATTGAGTTGTTGCCTATCCAACCTTTCGTCATGGAGGTACAAGTGCGATCAGTGCAACTTCGAATACTCCTTCCAGCGTGCTTTGCTCCATGGCCGCGTGCCAGTTGATGGATCGAATTCACAAGGCTGATAGGTGCAGGCCCACAAAGACGCAGTTGTTTTGCAGGTATGCAAGCATTCTCAGATCTGCGATTGTTCTGCATACGATCACTATGCTGGTATTCGTCGGCTTCCTTCTCAGCAAAAGCAGATTCAAGTCATGCCAGCTGCTGTTGCGTAAGCCTACAAAGGCTGCCTGGCAATGCTTTTGCCGCTGTGTCTGCTCTGCTCAGGTGCTGTTTGGTTGTGTAGCTATGTTTGTTACTACATTGACTGGCACCCTGGCCGCAACTCTGCAACGGTTGCTTTGAAGAGATGCACCTTGTTTGCTGCCACATCATGATGCTGGAATTCCTGTTCTACGAGGTTCCAGAATGGCGACGAGAATGCTGAGGTTCGCATTCTGTTGGAATCGCTATGTTGAGACACATGAGAAGAGCCTAGGGATTTTGGTTAGGAGCCGCTGGCAGGTTTTCTCCAAAGATCTCGTGGAGCACTTTGTCAACATCAGCGCCCTGCCCTTCTGGAAGGGTGTAGGGTTTTGACGTGCTACCCAGCCTACGAAGGAAGACAGCTGTAGGTCTAGCCAGGATTTGCCGTCAGCTTTATTTGGAAGATCCGGGAAGAAAGACAATTTTTTGGAAACCAGCCTGAACTGGTCGGTCCCCGCTGGGCAATCATGAGTGGCCCCGTCAACAGGCTGAGAGAAAGATGCCTCCGTCTTGTAGTGGAAGGCCCGCCAAAAACAGCCTTGTCAGGCAGGCTCTGAAGCAAGTGGAGAGTCGAATGAAAGGGACTTCGAGAAAGATGATGATGATGATGATGATGATGATCATGATCACGATGATGCTGAGAGTTGTGATGCTGATAATGCGAGGCCGGACCGCACAACAGATACATGGCCTGGTATGCAGGCACAGCCTGCATCCCGCTTCCAGCTACGTGAGTCCTTGGTCTGGTTTTGAGGAACCAGCATAAACTAGCATCAGAACAGTTGCCACAGTCAGGGAGCGTTAGTGGTGTGCCCTGCCACGAGCAAACGAGTGAACATTTGCATGCAATTAGGTCGCTGCTTGTGCAAGCCGACGACCCGACTTCAGTACATCACAGTACAATATAGTTCAGTACAGTACAGTACAGCGGCCTGAGTGGTAGACAAGCAGCAAGAAGCTGCCGCCCTCCTTGACCGAGCCCTTTCTTTGTGCCAACCGTCCATGAGCACTCCTCATGCGAGCCTGAGATGAGGCGGCCTCGATGATATTGACAAGGAGGCTTTGAGAAGTTGTGAGCAGTTTAAGATGGCCTTCGGTTTTCCATATCATATCGAGCTCTTTAACCCCTGTTGCATGCACACAGCAGGAGTTTCGTCGACTGGCTGACGGGCTGAACTCATTCACCGTTGGTGGCATCAACCTGGAGCCACAGCTCAATTTAGCTGGCAAGTCTTTGTAACCAAGGGCCGGAGGCAACATAATGTTCAAGCGCGAGCAAGAAGGTTAGAAGCAAAGCTGGCGAGGCTTGATGCAATCCCTCCAAGGCACACATAATCAACGGCCTCATGATGATTGGCCTCAGCGGATGCGTTTCCGCGAGTGTCTTTTTGTTTGGGCTGCCAGGTTGCAATTGAGTAGTTGCAGATCTGGCTGAAGAACAGGTGTCGACAAACAACCATCATGCTTTGTACATGGCCTTTGCGATGCCACATCCACCGCACAGCCAGTTTGCTTGGCTCAAATGCTCCATTGCGCAATCTGGTCGACTTAGACTGGATGCTGGGCTGCACTTAGCCACGAGCCACAGCAATACACGTGCTCACGCTGGTTTACGTTGTTTCATTTCATTTTTTTGCTGGACTGGTCAGTCGGTCGGTCGATCGGTCGGCGGGTCAGTCGGTCGGTTGGTCAGTGGGTCGGGCAGGCAAGCGGGCGGCCGCGGTCCGCGGACGGGTTGGTCGAGCGGGCGGCTAAAAGGCCTGATAACGAATGCTCATAAATCATGAGGGTAGTTGCCTGGTATAATCCTTTCCCTCCAGCATTAATGATTTCATCCTAATCTAGCTACTCCGAACAGTATTTATTTTAAGGGGGGTATTTATCGATGATCGTTTGACCCGAACATTTGGGGCGAACTGGCGAGCCCCCTTTACTCAACAGGTGCAAGTACCGGCAATGCTGCGGAAGTCTATACCCACGATTTTGTTTCACTCATTCATAGCTACTGACTGCCAAACAGTTGTTTCGGGACCACTGCTGCTGGGGGGTTCTATAGTAGGATCCTGTTGAGGTCTAATCAAAATCGGAGCAAAATTGCAAAATCCAATTAAAATCGTGATGTAATCAAGTACAATCGAATCAGCAGCAACTGAAGCTTAATTAATACCTAAAAACCCGTGTACAATCTTTTCAGGCTCTAACTAAGATCTAGTCAGAATAGGACTAAAGATGAATTGCAGCCTAATGAAAATCCAATTTGAATCTAATCAAGAACGATTGAAGATCGCATAAACTCTGATTAAAAGTGCTGTCAGATTTCAAGGGACCCCCCTAGTTCAGCGGACCCGAGCCCGAATTGACTATAGTCTTGGCCTATTTGGGAATTCTGGGGAATCCGCATTTTTAATAAGGCAGGGGTGTCAATACTTGGACTTGGAGGAAAGGACTACATTCCATTGTGCCCTAGAACCCTGACTCCAGTAATGAGTTCCCTGGAACCCCCTGGAAGCCATGCCCAATTTGACATCCCGGTCCTGGACTCCTCCCGTAGCTCCAATTCAATCAATTCCAGCTCTCATTGTCTTCCAAGCTTCTTATTCATAATGCTTCAGCTGCCGGCCCTGCGAACGCATTGACCAATCGCATGGTAGTTTCAATGTATTTTTTGACTCCCGTGCCTTGCAATCTTATTTGTGACTACGCATGGTCACTGGGAACGAAGGAATGGACCCCTGGAGTAGTCCCTTTACAATTCCCCATAGCCACCCCCCATGTTCTTTTGGTTCACTCCCCTCTAGCCACGCCATGTAGGGTAGGTCGGAAGCAAAGATGATCAGCAGTTCTTTTTACCGGCACCCCAAGGCAAATATGCTATGCCCCCCTGCCAGCCCCGTTGCTTTTCAATTCAAAGCTAAACAGTCTGTTGGGAGAACGTTGTAAAAGTAAGCAAAGAACTACATGTTTTCATTTTGGGCCCGCGCTTTTGCAAGTGGGGGGGGGGGGGGCGCAATCTCTGGTGCATGTGGCATGGTAGCGCTGAAGCTGGTTTGCTGGCCGCTTCGCTTGCCAGTAAGGCAGCTGCTCAAATAAGTGGTTTGCCATGTTCGCGAGCATCCCACTTCTAGTGAACAATCCTGGCTTTGCTCCTAAGAACGGCTTGCAGTGTAGCCTGTGGGAGCCAAGCTGGCGAAGCACCGTAAATGGGCTGACCTGCAAGAGACTGCTAGTGAGACCTGCCCTGGAGTCCGATTCGTGCAGGCTTCGGCCAAAATTAGTCATTCGCATGGATTCCGGTACGGTCATAGGGGCAAAGCTGCCTGTAAGCTCTGTAAATGCCGTACAGCCCCTGTAAGCTGCAGCAGTCGGTCCTACCAAGAACATGCAAAAGAGATCAATGCAGCAAGTAGAAGACTGCAGACTTGATGATTTGCTTATCTACAGCTACCTGTTTTCTCATGTTTGGTCCATGCTTTTGCAAAATGGAGGGAGGGTGCCGCCCCCCGCCCCAGCGCAAGCAAAACAGACTGCTTGGGAGAATGTTGATAGCCAGATCAAAGAGCTTTGTGTTGTTTTTTTGGGGTCTGTGCTTTTGCAAAAAGGGCGGGCTGTGCAGCCGAACTGTTTGCGAGAACGTACCACCCCCGGCTTCTGATTCTAAAACGAACGAACTGTTTGTGAGAATGTATCCCCTGCTTTTGATTTTCAAGCGGAACGGATTGCTCGGGAACGGTGTTAACATGAGCTAGGAGCTACATGTTTTCATTTTGAGTCCGTGCTTTTCTAAAAGGGGGGTGGCTCCCAACCCCCCGGCTTTTTGTTTTAAAGCGAAACAGGCTGCTCGGGAGATCGTTATACTGGCTGAGCAAAGAGCTACATGTTGTTTGTTCATTTTCCCAAACAGGAAAGGCTTGGGGTCGTCCTCAGAAGAAGAGAAGAACGCAGCGGGCGGGTTGGGCTGCATGCGGCGCCGACCTGTGGGCCCGCAGTGGGCCCGCGGTGGGCCCGCGGGGGGCCCACAGAACAAAACACGAAAACGGCGTCTGGATGGGCTGCACGGGGCGCGGACCCGTGGGCCCACAGTGGGCCCGCGCTTGCCAAGCGAATTGCTTCCAGATTGCCAGGATTTCCGTTGGCCTGCTAAGCCAGCGGTTGCACGCGGAGACGGGTCTTTGTTATGAAGTCTGTTTTGACTCGTAAAGGGCGGTTCCTTGCGGGAGTGCTGACAGAATTGATTTTACTCAAGTAGGAAACGTTTGGAAGTCTCGGCCCAAGGACATGTTGTTGTTTCCCCTCGTTTGGTTTCACTTGCTGCGCCCACCTCACAGCCTTGCGTTCCTCTGCCCCTCCAGCTGCGGCACGGAAGACCGGATCCGCTGCGCGGCCTCGTGGAGGCTTGCTTTACGGCGACGAAGCAGAGATGGGCCGGCACATGACCGCCCCTTGGTTTGGGCTGCCCAGGGGTGCTTTTGCAGCTGATTTTAGCTGTTGTCTACACAGACTGCCTCGAGAAGGGAGATCTTTAGACTTCGTTTCTCCCGAAGCTTTTTTGGCACACGACTGGCAACTGACTGGAGCTGGACACGGCATGTCGTTTACGGCAGCGTTGGACTCGGCACAGCATGCTGTGTGTCGTAGTCCCTCACAGGCCATATTGTACAGCCATGGCCCATGCAAGTGATTGCTGCTTTTCATGCTTTCACAGTGGGAGTTTCACAGTGGGAGCAGGATTGTTGTTGATTTGTTGTTTTGGTCGAAGGATCTCCTGCTGACATGCAAGACATCTCATCAGATCTGAGATTGATTGTCTCCTTGTTTCATTGGATGGAGATATGCATATGGCTGCACAATTAGTGCCGCCGAAGACCCCAACCAGCATCGATGTAAAACATGCAAATGAAACTTATCGTTGGCGTTCAGCGCTCATCCGATTCGAACGCCAAACAATCAAAGTAGCAGCCCTTCAATGGTTACAAAAAACATTTACATACCCATATAAGCATTTTGGCGGCTGGATTGTTATTCTTGGTTTTGATCCGGCGGGCTTGAACATTATGAATTTATGGTCTAATTCTTGCACCGCTGGATGTTATTTTGAGGGTTTTGGGCAAAAAATATCGGCATTGCAAGACGCTCCTGCAGCTCAAGGTGCTTTGAGTCTCCTAGGTTCGCGTCTAGTTCTTAGGGATCAATCATGAGGGTTCCAGGGTTAGACTGGAAAGACTTTGATCTTGCGTTTTGACCTGGCAGGTTTTTGGGTTTAGGGTGTAAGGTTACAGAATATGGATGGAAACATTTCCCGGCCTTGAGCTGGCAAGTTTAGGTCCGCCCATTCAGCCCTCGGTTCAGCCACCGTCAGCCCACAGCTCCAAGCCGCATGCCTGCTAAGCAGCCGCCGTCGCCGATCCAGCCGCCGCGGGCCCACAGCCAACCCACAGGTGCACGCCGCGCGCCGATTCAGCTGCCGAGGGCCCACAGGTCCGCGCCGCGTGCTGGCCATCCAGCCGCCGCAGGAACAAGGACGCAGTGTACGCGGCTTTCGGTCACGAGACCAGAATCTTTGCAGGAGTTAGCACCAGTCACGATTCGAAACTCCCAGCCACGCGCCGCCCATGTAGCTGCGGTGGCTGGCTCGCAGTGACGCCCATCCAGCCGGTGCGTTCTTCTCTTGCTTTGAGGAGGGGACCCCAAACGTTTCCTTTTTTCCTCCCCAAACAGGAAACGTTTGGGGTCCTCTCCTCAAAAGAAATGAAAAACGCAGCAGCTTGATGGCCTGCACGCAGCGCGGACTTGTGGGCCCGCGGTGGGAAATCGGGCTAGCGGTGGGCCTGCGGTTCTGAATTCTGCTTTGAATCGTAACTGGCTGGGCGGCGCACGGGGCAGACCTGTGAGCCAGAGGTGGGCCCGCGGAAGAAAAGAAGAACGCAACGGTGGATGGGAGGCCCGCGGCGGACCCGCAGTTATGAGTTTGGTATTTGGTTTTGAAGCTCGTGACCTGGAAATCTGAATTGTCTGGATTTGAATAAGGCTTTCTGAATCCCATGAGTTGAAGGCCGGTTGAACCACTGGCATCATTGACGTTGATTGGGGTCCTGGCCACCTCATTTGATTGGAGAACGGCAGTAGTGTAACACTGTTTTCCGGATGATGATGATGACGAGGTCGGATCACCATTGCCGGCCCTGCGGCTTGGACAGAAGAAATGCATAATTACTTCATATGCAATGTGGCTGTCACGCCCAAAATGCCCATGGCTTGGCCGATGCTGAACAGCAACACTGGCACTCATCATAAGAGTTGTTTTTACGAGCATCTGCATGCCGCGGATATGATTTCCGATGATGATGATGATGATGATGATGATGATTACGACGCGGGGGCGAACGGTTATGCTGAGCA